CATCCCTTCCCTCCAGTGTATCGATCGCACTGCACAGCTGGGTGTCGTCGGCAAACTTGCTGAGGGTGCACTCCATCCCACTGGCTGTGTCCCCGACAAAGACGTTAAACAGTGCCAGTCCCAGTCCCAACCCCTGAGGAACTCATCACTGGTCTCCACTTGGACATTGTGCCGTTGACCGCAACTCTTTGCGTGTAACCATTTATTAAACTTAGGTTGATTAGATACTGCTGAGAGCTTATTATAGCAGAAATACTCACTTGACAATTAAAATTCAAGTTTTAGAAGCAAGGTTGCTGTCCTCTAGTAGTCTAAAGATAGCAGCCTCTCCTCTAAGAATTAGATTCAAATACTATTACCCTGACTGTTAAAAAAAATGGGTGTGCTATCATGTTAAATAAAATCTTAGCTTTTAAAAGGCTAACACAAATTTATGTATTACTAAAACATTTCTTCCACCCAAAGGTTCTTCTCAGTGCTATGGAAATGACCAAAAACTAGTCAGCCTTTTTTCCAACTAAATCATGATACATCTTCCTTATAAACCAGAAATGACACCAGATGGAAACACAGGCAGACTGGACACAATATCTAGCAACTGCCTTACTTTCTTCAGCATGTCAGTGGAGACAAAGAGACAGCTCACAATATCCTGACGCATGCGATTTTTAGTGTCAGGCCCCACTCGGTGTGCTAGACCAGCCTAGATTATTAAAAACCCTTCAACACTCAACCTTCTAAGTTCTTAAGTCCTTGAGAGACAGCAGAAAAGCAAATCACTTACCCACTGACTCAATGCAGAAATCAAAGCTCAGCTCGGAGGCCAATTTCTTGCTTGACTTCAGTTTCCCTTGTAAATTCACAATTTTCACAAATTCTCAAGAAAAACAGAAAAACCAGTATCAAAACTCACTGCTGAAAAGGATTACTGACAGCTTTAAGTATGAAATACTAATTTCATCCTCCAGGCACAAAGAAATGCCCAAACCTAACACCTACAGTATTTGTCTAAAATGAATCCAAGAGCATCCTTCTCTCGAAACAAATATAGAAAACCTTCTTATACACTTCGTACGTTCTCAGATTCTACTGACAGCCTCCCTGCAAATTACCAACAGTGCAGAAATGTGAATTCAACATAAAGGTTGTCAGACTAAGTCATTGCAAAGTTCCCCTTAAGGTATTAACCTCTGATGCACAAGAGTTATGGTTATAATTACTGTGTATGATGGAGTGTTAGCTATTTGTCCTGCTAGCAGGACAGGCAAACGACACTTTTTCCAAGTAAATTTGGAAAATATCTGACTGGCATATATTTGAATTCTGATCTGTAATGCCGCATTACATTTCATTTTGAAAAGAAACAAGAATGATACACATATGAAGAGGCAAAGTGGAATCACAGGAGCCAAAATGAAACCCCACTTATCTGAACTGTACCTTTTTGGAAATACAACACAAATTAGTAATGAAGGGAGAAAAAAAAATAACTTGTGGCAGAGTTAAAATCAACAACTGTGGCAAAACAAGTTTTGCACAAAGTGTAGGAAGTTGCCCAACAGAGACGTGTTACTTACTGTCCAGGCAGACTAGGACAGTGTCTCTTTCCAGCTGTGTTACGTGAATGGCATCTAACTGCTGATTGCCTTGTGAAAAAGAAAACAGATTATTTTATTATCACATCATAAGACTGATCTCAGCCTCTTCCCCTCCCCTCACCCTCTCACCAATCGCTACAGCCTTTTCAGTATGCTACGAGTCTTTTGCAATCTACAATATTTGTTACTCTTTAGAATTTTTTTAAGGCTATAACGATCCCAGAATGTTCTGGGAGGAGTACAGGGCCTAAGGACAAACCCATCGGTTCAAAGCAGGTACTGAATATGAAAGCACTACTGTTTATTGGCATAAATGACATTTTGTGTTACAGTTCAGCACAGCAAGTCAGTGTCCTTCATAAAGAGGCACAATAACGAACAAAAGGAATCATGAAGGGAATCTTTGCTCCTAAAAAATGCTCTTTTACCATAAATCCACATCTGGAAAGATTACTGGGCTGATATTAAACTAGACTTAATAGTTTTTCTAGTTTTTGTTAATGAAGTTCTTGGTACAGCTGTGAAAAATCAGTATTTAAATGTAAAAAAGTATATCCAACAAAGCCAGCAGAGAAAAGCATCTGCAAGATATCAACTAGCTTTTGAAGATAAAACAAAATCTTCTACTTATTAATAGCCAGCTGAAGATGACAAGCCTCCCCCAAGGGCTGGAGGACAGACAAGAATGCATTTATGTGAGACTTGACACAGGAAAGAAGGGGAAAGAGATGTTAAGACTGATCCCAGGAAAAAGTATGCAACCACAAATGAGAACCCAATCAGCAGGGTCTGCATTACTGTTTAAGGAAATTTATAAAATACAAGATGTGTCTAAACCGAAGTCTTTTAAGAAAGATAGTTTGTACTGAAGTTGGCAAGTCATCACAAGAAGAACCTGAGATCAGCTTCAGTATGCTTTAGGTAGAGAAACTGCATCATTTTGCCTCGCCTAAAGGGTTTCCAAACAGCTTCTGAGGAAGGGATATCCAACAGATACCCAACAGTTACCAGACAATAAAACGGCTGCAAGACGGACCAACAGTCTTACCTGCACCAATTTCTGTAAACCACGACGAAGCAGAGTTCAAGTTGATTGTCTCAAACTGAACTACCTGATTTGGTTCAGTACCCTTACTGATAGCTACGCAGACCATGGGGTACTCCTGCTCTGGTATCACTAGCATTTCAAACACATTCAAAGGGCTTGGCAAAGGAAAATCAAAGTGCTGGAAAAAAAGGTAACAAGGCATTTGTAAAGTTTCCTTTTACCTTGGAAATAAGAAGCCTAAAATAATATGCATAAGCTATAAAAGGTATAGAAGACTTTTTCACTGCTACTAAGAGAGCTTTTTTAAGATAGCATGAGCTGTGAGCAACATTAGGTTGCACAGAGGTATATGCTAGTCTGTTATTGCTAGTACTGGGCTCAATCCAACACTTGACTGACTTCAGTCACAAGATTTTCTTAGTCAAAATGTGTCAAGCCAGATTTTCAAGTGCTCAGAACCCACAAGTGGGACTAGACTGGGATGTACTTTCCATTACAAATTCTGGAAAGGTTATTTCAACAACTGTATAATGATTAAGATTAAATGTTTAAACTAAAATGAAATACTTACCTTTATTAACATGAATTTCTGCATTGGCTCATACCACTGTAGTAGAACAATTCCAGACTGCAATGCACCACACAGGTACTTATGTCCTGTGTATGGATTTCGTACTATATAAAATAAACAAATGAAAAAAACCCAGAAAACAACACTTTTTAAGTCCTGGAAGTTCAATGCATACTTGAAAAAAAAACCCCCAGCTATCTTTGCGAACAATTTAAGAAATAGCATCAGTTTCACACTAATTGCCTTCTGGCTTGCCATTCAAATATCCACAGTGATTAATACAGTGCTACGTTCCAGATAAATTAAATTATAATTAATAACCACTCGCATTCTTTGAGTCCCAGTAAAGAGGCCACACGCTGAGTGGCCAGAAAAGCTGTAACACCTTCTTCCTGGGGCTGTGTGAGCAGGGGGAGTGAAAGGTCTGGGTCACATTAGCATTTAAATAAAAAAATTCCCAAGCAGTGAAGATGTCCCATAACTTCTTGTGAGCTTTGACAGCTAATGCAATAATACGATAAAGGGTTTGGGGTTTGGTTTTTTTAAGCTCAGTTGGATACGAGACCAGCCTGACTTCAGGAATTGTTTGTAAGTATGCCTACTGTAGACACTTTATATGAGCTAAGCAGGATATCCAAGTTTGCAACAAGGTACTTTATACTCTGTTTAAGCACTTTTAAGAGTGTAAAGATACAATTTCACACAGCATTAGGGCCAGTTTTCAAAAGGACACGCATTCTATAGAAAGCCCAAGCCTTTTTGAAAGTCAGTGAAGCCAAAGACAAATCTATAACTTCACAAGCTTTAACTCTTTTGCGTGCATTTAGAAGTTGAGCGATAGCTTCGCTCCTCCCCAGGCTGACATCATTTTTATTCATGTTTGGACCTTTCTTTGTGGAAAATATTCTTTTCAAGTTAGCCTCACTAAAAGTTGGATCTAGGTCAAACCTTGAGCCAAGCTGACAAAGGAGAAAGGGTATTTGTGTACATGGGACAAGGCTGGGATTCTGGAAGAAGCGTTACACTCGCAGGCAGGCTGCATGTCGCAGCTGGCTTTGGTGGCAGCCTCCCAGTGATCCCAAACGTCGACTTACTAACTATAAGTTTATTAAAAAGAAATGAGTTTAAGACATGCCCTGTCCAATCATAAAGGCCAGGAAATAAAACTGCAAAACTGAATGTCTACTCACCTATACAGCATTTGTGGCATCCTTTTGTATCAGGGATCTTTGTCGTTAAGGCAAACTTCCTGGAATAACAATTATCAAAAAAATGCATCAACAAGAGATGTCGAAGGCCCTTCATGCTACCAATTCAACAGCACAAACAGTATTTATGGGAATTTTCACTCATTATAATTGTCTACAAGTGAAAGATTTGTACCTTGGTAATATTTTGTCAGGAAACCTATGGGTTTGAATATGAGCAGCTAATCCTGTTTTTTTGGCTTGTTCAAACAAAGCTATTAAATTATGGGAGTAGAGCTGGAATGTTTTCCCTGTAAGAGAGAAAAACACAACTGACATCGCACCCACGCCTCCAGCAGAGAACTACACATTTTAGAAGAATGTATGTATAGAAAATTACCTTCTAGAAAAATGGACCACGTACGTCGGGTATTTCAAGTCCAGTTATGAAGTAAAATAAAACAAGACAACAATAATAATGCATATAGAGAAGACATGGCATTCAGCTCAAAGTTCATTTCAGTAACACTAAAGAAGCTCTGAAAGTTAGTTTTAGGTAAACATTTTTAGAAGGCTGTAATTATACAATAACAATTAATTGCAGCAGGACATTTTCTTTATCTATAAATCAGAAGCAGTGTTACACAAACCCTGCAAGTTTAAAGGCACAGTCCTACAACTAGTCTCCATGCCACAGTGCCTCTGTTTCCTATCTAGAATGTCCTATTCCACGACAACTGATGAAAAAAAAATTTTTTTTCAAGAACCGATCTGCTGGATTAGTAGTATTTCACAGCCACTTCATTCTCCTTCAAACTGAAACTAGTTTTGGTTTAGGGTGGATGTATTTTCTGAATCTGGTTCATACCAAAGACGTTGCCAGGCTACAATACACTGAATGTGATCAAACCCTGCAGTTACATTTTGATAACGCACCTATGCTAATCCTCTCCTAATTTTGTTCCGACGCATGAAACCCATCCTTATTCCGACCCTCCTAGCTCAAGGACCAAAGATGAGGACACTCTTTAGATTCCCTGGGCACTTCCCGTCAAATTGCAGTCTTGGCAGAGGCAGCTCTTGTTTGACAAATACCAAGTGCCAAGCTTTGACAAATACTAAGTGCCAAACTACCTAAATATAAATAAACAAACCCAAATATGGTGGGACGTTGCAGACAACTCGCTCTACTACTTGTAAACGTCCAATTTTACCTCTGAAAGTCTTTCACATTAAAGCACTCTTGAAGCAAAGCTTCCTATACAAACACAAGAAACAATGCATGGTTTTCTACTGCGGTACAATCAAAATACATTGTACTGAATTACGACTTTAAATGTTTCTCTTTATTTATGATTTTATTCGTTTTCCCTCTATTTATACATACCTGACAAGGACATTAAGGTGTTATTGATAACATACAGCCAGGTGCACTTTCGGGGAAATAACTGAAGAAAGAAAAACATTTCCATTAATAGGAACATACAGGAATTTCCAACCGTGGTTTTCTCTGCCTGCTCCACCTCCGCCACCATTCCTGCAGGGATTGACACTGGAGAAGCTCCCAGCTGTGACTGCAGTTTCTCCTCTAATTCACTCTCTTGGATCCTTGCTTAGTCCTTTTCTCTGTCTGAAATAGTTTTCATTCCTTCCCTCTTCTACCCCTGAAACTTTCAAAATGTAAGTTTTCTTTATTTTTTAATCAGCAGTACAGGGCCAAAGCGGGACAACTGACAAGACTGGAATACATATCTAGAAAGCTATAGCTTGTTCAGAAACGACAGACAGAGAAACAAAGATAACTCAAAGCGGGACAACTGACAAGACTGGAATATATATCTAGAAAGCTATCGCTTGTTCAGAAATGACAGACAGAGAAACAAAGACAACGTTATTACAGAAACCTACTAAACCTCACAAAAGCCAGAAGAGAGGGAAAAAAGGCATAAGGCCTTAGTATTTTCTGTGCAACTTGAATTACCACAAAATCCTGTATTTTGTGGGACTTACCTGCCTGGCTATTTGTGTGAGCATGCGGCTTTGTAAACAGACAGTTCACGGAAGGCATTGGGACTTATTTTTGTTTCAGAGGGAAGAAGTTACTTAGGACGCAGCTAGACTAGATTTGAGAAGATTTCAAAGTTAACATCTTGATAACCTGAAGGGAATTTTTATAGGAATGATGGCAAATGACAGCATTCAGGAGTCTCAATAAAAGAAGGGATAAGGACAACAGAATAAGGACAGGGATTTTGTTTAAAAAAAAAAAAAGAAAAAAGACAAGACTAAACTTATTGAACAGCATTCACAGGTAAAGTTCTCCCTCAAGAAAAAAAATTCCAATAAGAAAAAAGGGAGTTCAAAGGATTAAGCTGTTTCTAAAGGATGCTATTAAAAAAAGACAACAACAGACTGGTCCACTGAGGGAAGTTGTTGCAAAACACAGCAGAAAACGCTTGAATCGAGGCTCTACAAAAGAATAACTGTACTGGTTCAGGCAAATGTCCCTCTAACCTAATATCTGTTTCCAACAGTCACCATAAACTGATGTAATTTCTCCTAAAACTGGTAAAAACATGAAAAAAAACGTATGTAATACTGCACCTAATAGTCTGCCAGGCACCAAGTTCTTCAGCTCAGAAACCTGATGAATCCGATACGGGCTTTATGCATTTAGTGAGCTTCAATGGATTTATCCTCCAGAAATTTGTCCAGTCTCCCCTCTGAACTCAGATAACGGCCCAGCATTTTCAGCTCCCCATAGCAAAATGTCCCAAGCCAGTTACTCACTGTTTATTTTTAATTTGGCTCCACTAGCTTCATTTAATGGCCCCAATGGAAGAGAAGGGGAATAGTTGTTCCCTATGAACTATTTCCAAGCCATCTCAAGATGGCTAAATATTTTTTATTTCCCCCCCATGCCTTAAGAATCACAAATATATAATATAGAAAACAGAAACAAGGATGCAATGCTAAGGACAAAGGGGCAATCACAAGATAAGCCTGAAGGAAGAAACGTAAGAAAGGTTAAGATGCAAATCAAATTATCAATAAAAGAGAAGTCGATAAACGTGGCAACCGGGAAAAGGCTACGCTCACTGCTTGACAGGAAAGAAAGACTACATGATTAACACAGTTAATAGCACTGGGGTAGAAACTTGTGCTAGAAGCAGAAAAAGAACACATTACACACTGTTTGAACTAGATCTACTCACTTCAGCAGGTCCCAATAAAGTTTACTTTACGGTACTTAAGAACTGGCTCAAACCCCAAGGTCTCAGTAATGATTATCTTCAAGAACTGATAGAGGACGAACGAGGACCTCAAGAAGGACAAACACAGTACCTACGCCAAATAAAAAAGGTGGTGGGAATTGCAAAACAGGCGGACTGACTGGATATCCAGAGTAGCACAGGAACAAGCCACATGCTTTTTTAATTACCAAGGGATAACAAGGGCAGCTAGTGCAGACTTGTGCGGAACAGGCTGTATTTGAACATCTACATTTCCTTCTTTAACAGAGCAACTGCTCTGCTGGGGGCAGTGAAACAGTAAGGTGTGAAACATATGTGAAGGACCCTGCGCAAAACAAGGAAAATATGGGGTAGAGGAAATTGCAGAAAGAAAACATACACCTGGTTGGACATAAAAAACAGAGTATCTATCAGTAATTTGCTATTTAACAGAAGGAAAAAGCAGCTTGTAGATATATAGAGTCTTCTCTGGCTCTGGTTCTATTCAGTATTTTCACTGAAAAACTAACAATGGAATAAAAGCACGCTTCTGAAACTGGGAGATATTAACCTGGGAGAGATGGCAAGCACTTTGGAAGATGCGATCAGAATTAGAAGTCAGAGAAACAGTTAAAAATGTACATTTGGTGGGGAGAAATCATGAAATAAATAAAAGCAAATAAGGAAACAAGAGGTGCGGCAGAAGCACTGTGGTAAAGCCTCTGGGGTTTGAAGTGGATCACACCTGACCTCTGCCAACTGAGAATGCTCTCACAGAAAAGAAAATTTTCATTTTAGGGTGCATTAAATGTTCTCTCTACCTACCACTGGCATATCTAACCTTTCAATAGGATATAAAAAAGCATGTGGAAGAGTCCAGAGAAGACCGTTCCATGAAACAATTTAGGAAAATGTACAAGGAAAGAGATTGCTTTGACTAACAGAGTAAAGAGAAAATGGAGGTAAGAAGGCCGAGGGGTCTCCAACAGCTGCCACCACATTTTTTAGACATTTGTTTCCCATGTCTACTGAGGCTACAAAAATCCAAACAACTTCATATTCAGTGCCATCCTATTGCATTCAGGTGCACCCTCAGCTCTCTTAACTTGAAAGGATCTTCTACTTGTACTGAATTCAAATTCCCAGTTCTCACCATTAAGCCCTTTATAATCTGCTCTGGCTTTTGTCTGTG